TAACAAAATTTTTTGTAAATTCAAAAAATGCTCTGCTAAGACCAATGGCTTAGAGAAACTCTGTACACTTTGGAACGCTGTCTATGAAATAAGATATGCACAGTGTTCAGCCACGCGTATAGGCGAATCTAACCTTATGGTACATGGACCTTTCAAAGAACATGTTCGTGCCACTGTTAATCTTGACAACGAAGAAGCCACCGCGGAACATTACACCAATTCACAAGGCATAATTGACAAAACGTTCGTCATATCAAAGTTTTAGAGAATTATGATAATTTTCATGAAAGAAAATTTAAATAATATCTTGTGAATCAATCTAAACGCTCTTCTATTAACAGATACAGCGCATATAATATATAAACTTAGTATTCCGAACATTATGTAATTTCGAAGTCTAAACATGGCTCCTGTAAAATTATTATTATTCCATGTAAGGCTTATTGTATTTTTATTTATTTATTTACATTAATTATAGTGATCAGTGACTCAAGCTTGTCTAACAACAATTGTTATGACGTGAAAGCCTTTTCTAAGCTGGCGATACATAATTGTAATTAACATTAATATTATATACAAATCATCGTTATAAGAGGCTTAACTGTATTTCTTTGGTTTGCCAGCTCAAGCCGTGCCTGATGAGCCTTGAATAGGCGAAACTGCAGACCACAGCATAGAGTACAGCCAATCAAATAAAGCATTAGGCCTCTACATCTCCTATTCTCTTTTCGATTTTACCTTTGGTGAGAAATAAAATAAATCTGTAGAATGTATATGTAATAATTGTAATTAGACATTATTATTATTATGCCTACTATATTTTTAACACATTCTTTTTTCGGTCCTTTAAGATTTTTACAAGGGCTGACTAAAGAATGTAGTGTTGAAATATAAAAGGTCTGATATTAATGTCTTGCGACGAGTATAATTGCTTAACAATACTTCTAGGACGTTTCATCGTGCATCGTTATGTTATACTGTCGTACTCATATTATTTTCAATTATTATCATTCAAAATCATCTTCGTAACTTGTGATCCTCAAAGACCTTGGAAAAAGTCGTAAACACAAGCGTTAAACACAAAATGAAAAATAAATATTTACCTGAAGTTGTATGTAGTCTTTTTTTTTCGACATTCGTAATAGTTTGAATATATTGAAAATATAAAAACTTCTTTTCTTAAATATTTGATAAACAGTGCAAAAGCACAGCATAACTCTCAATTCTTAATGTTTTGACACAGTAAATAATATGTCGACAAGTTTCTGTCGAATTATATTTCAGTCTGTCAGTTTGATAGGCATTTACAATGCTATGTTGTCAAGGTGAACATCTATTATACGTATATGATTAGGGGTTCATGCTGGTGCATCCAATTGTTTTATATTTGTATGCCTTGACTTCTGATGACTTAACATGGCGTTTATACTATTAGGTTTATGTTCTTAGCCTTTAATAATTATAATTCATGTATAGTAAAACACTTATCTTAGAAATTCTCTTTATTCTTAAAATTGGACAAAAAATAAAATTATAATTAACGAATTTATTTGCCTGCCTCTATGTGTTTCGGTTTATTCGTAACTGATATATTTGTTATCATTAACACTTTATTTATTTAAATTTTAGATTCACCTGGAAGATTCCAGTTTTTATATTATAGGTGAAACAACGTATACGGTAACTACTGCATAGTTGTAACATAGAATCAAAATACATGAGAACTGGAAAGTTGTATAGAAACTCATTAATTCCTGGATCGTGTTACAATATAGGTCGATATAAATGGAAATTAAAAAAAAGTTGTTTCGTCATATTTCTTGGTATTTTCCCACAAATATACGTAGTTGTGAATAGGTTTGTACTAAGTGGAGCTACCTATCACAATTCAATGTATTTTTTCACTGAAAGTATATATAATTCTATTAAAAAGTAAAAAAAGAATACTTTTCATTTCCCCATCATTAAGTCTGGGCCGGCAAAACTTAGCTCACTATTGCATATCTGTTTCTTTTCAATTTTCGAGTTGTTGTTTTTGTTTTTTCACGAAGAAAAAAAATTTTCTCTTGTACGACTTGTATGCAAATTCTTTTGACACATATAAATAACTTGTTTTGTACCTTAAATGCATTGCTGTTTAGCTGTCTATGCATTTTCATTTATTGTCTCTTATAACATTGAAACGGTTGTGTACAGATTTATTATAAGAAAAAAGAGCACACATTGAAATGTAATTATTTTATGACTACCATTTTTGTGTAGAAATCATACAGTTCAAATATCCCAAGCAAATTCAGTTTCGTTTTAGGCCCGGAGAATGATGCCCTAATGATCTTAATAACTCGAAACACTATTCTGCATAAGATGTTCTTCTTTTCAAGTATAATAATGTTTACAGCAAGATGGGTTAATGATTTATTTATGTTATAATATCCTAATTATGTTGTTGTGTTCTTGTGTCTTTCAAAGAAAGTGCGCTTATTACGACGTGTGTGCCATGGAGGTTACCTCCAGGTAAGGGATTTTGGGGTCTCCACCCGAGAGGGATCAATTGTGGTCAAAAACAACTGCTAGGGGTAGAACGATTCATTAATTTTCTTCAGACATGAAAACCCGTATCAACACAATATGAGGACCCTCCCATGACCCCCATAATTTACCACTATCGACCTATAGTTTTCCTAATTAGTTCTTAATGTCCTGTTCGTAATTATGAAACAGCAACTCCCAAGGCGTGACAATATTTGCTTACTGTCTCTGGGAAACTATATCTCTGAAACCAAGCAAGTTAAACTACAATCTACCAATATGGGTAATACGACAGTTTCAAGTAATGAACAAAATTTATAATATTACAAATTAAGAAGTATTCAAAGCATGTAACGATTTCATATCCTGACTAGACACAAAGTAGACAAATTAAGTTGTACGCACTTGTAACTACAATCTGTTATTATAATCAAGATAGAAAGTTGAGAATTTATTCTTTTTAATACTAATATTACTGATAATCCTTATTTAATTGGCGGTAAAGGTAAAGAAATTGCTTACTAACCAAAAGTTCCAAGAAACTGACCTCTAAACAAGCGTAGGACAACCAAGACAACAAACAATAAGGATGATTCTATTTTATACTTAACAGTTGTTTGCTTCTTCAATCCGATATGTCTGTAGGCGAAATCCTTATTAACAAAGTGAGTTTACACCACTGGTCTCATATGCAAGAACTCAGTTCTTGCCATCACGTGTCATATCCAATTACTTTGGTGTGTCGGCTACTGTACTTTGAGAAGTCGTCGTTTTACTTTTGTGAAACACAAATACATTTGTCACTCAGCAACTTGCAAAGTGAATTCTCAAGTACACTGTAAGGCAATTCAATTCATTTAAGGAATGACATAATACACCTGCTTAGGCAACATACGAAAATTGATCAAAAATAACTGAAAAAGATACTTGAATCCAGAACCAAGTTCAATCTAATGGTTTGTTAGTCGCATTGAGATCTATGAATTAGGAAACAAATAAAAAAATTACATGCTTTACTTTGTTAACAGAGAAACCTACTTCAGCTGAATTTGAAGTACTAAATGACTAACTGTCATGGAATATTGGCTAATTGGTTGGTTGGTTGGTTGGTTGTTTTGAATTTCGCACAAAGCTACACGAGGGCTATCTGCGCTAGCCGTTCCTACTTTAGCAGTGTAAGACTAGAGGGAAGGCAACTAGTCATCACCACCCACCGCCAACTTTTGGGCTACTATTTTACCACCGAATAGTGGGATTGACTGTCACATTATAACGCCCCCACGGCTGAAAGGGCGAGCATCTTTGGTGTGACGGGGATTCGAACTCGCGACCCGCAAATTGTGAGTCAAGCGCCCTAACCACCTGGCCATACCGGGCCTACTGGCTAATTGCAATTCATACAAACCTCAGTCTGGAGCCTTACGGACTTCATTCTGCTGCGAAATAATTTTTGGGATTTATAAATATCAAGGATTGATGTTTGATGGTGGTAAAGGTGGAATATAAGCAAAGTTTAATGAAGAAAAAAAATGTGTAAAGGTTGACTACATAGAAATACAAAGGTGCAAGAAATATATTCCCCGACAAAATATTCTTGTATCAGAAGATCAAATACGAATGTCTGACTTACACGATATGTTAGTATGTGGATCATCATCTCTTCTCAGTTTGTAGATTTGTCATCCTACAAGTTTTCCCCACAGTCGTTTACATCAATATTGTGACATATTCAATTTGTTTGTTTCTTTTAGAAATTTCGCCCAAAGCGAATAGCCTTTCCAGTTTTGAATTTATAAACTATAAAGAAGGCAGATTGTCACTAGTATCCGCCGCCAACTCTTAAGCTACTGTTGTTTGTCCGATTAGTAGGGTTTGGGCATCGCTCTTATAGCAGATCCTATGGCGCTAAATTGTGAAGCGCATTTTTTGCAGCAACGGAACGCGAACCAAAAATCCTAGGATTTACAGCCCGGACACACTAAACACAAGTCCACGCCAGGTGGATGTCGAAAAATACCGTTTGACTGATATAACAATATAAAAGTTCTTCAATTTCATTATTTTACTTTATCAATTTTTATAAAATATTGTAAGTGTACTTTAACTGTCGTGTTCCTAATGCTCCTCCATATCGTATGAGAAACATCCCTCAAACTATTCAGGGGAGAACAGATATCTAAGTCATTTTCGGTATTTGACTATGTTGTTATTTTTTGCACATATCTGCACAAACAGTTTTTTAAAATTGTATTTGACACAACCAATAAGTTTATACAAAGTTTTATCAAAATATCTATAAAAGAAATAATGCCACCTTTCACCGCCAGGCTACGCTGAATTTACTTGTATGTTAGGTGGAGAAGTATCTTCAAATAAAGTTCCCAACTTAGGGCCGGATTTTTCCTTGAAAATACCACGAGGAAAAAACAGTTTTCGGACTCGGATTCAGGGCATAAAAAATATTTTTGTTTGTTTGTAGTTAAACACAATGCTACGCAATGGGTTATCCGTACACTGTCCACCACGTGTATCGAAACTCGGTTTTTACACATGCCACTGTGCCACGCATAAAAATAAATTGTTGATTATATTATTCCAAGCATTTTGGAATGTAAGTACTAATTCCTGCTCAACTCTCTCTCCTTAATTCAATAAACCTAGTGCAAGGTTCAGGAAGATCTTAAACGATGTGCATCAACTATTACAAAGGTCTGAATTTAATTTCTACCCAATTATCAAAATTACAAGTTAGAAAATAATTTTTTAATCAAAGCATAGTTCGTACACTAATAATAAAATTATTATTTTGAGTTTTTTCATAAGTCAAAAAGTTGTTTGTTCTGCCAGTTTGTGGAATCTTGCTTTTATTTCTAGTTTCATTTCCAATTTATTTCTCCATCTAATGAGCCACCTAGTGGCTCAACGGTAAGTCTGAAGGCTTATAGCACTACGAAATCGGGTTTCGATACCTATGGTGGGCACAGCGTAGATAGTCCATTGTGTAGATTAGCGCTTAACGACAAAACAAACAAACTATCCAATGAACCATGATGATTGAAATCGGCTACTAGAAAGCATGAAAACCTGATTAGTCAGTAACTAAGTAAAATAAGATCAACATTTAATCATCTATAGAGTTACTACAGAAATAGTGTAATTATTAGATTTACTTTTCAAGAAAGCGCTTTTCCTAACTTTATATTTACATGAGCTTTCTCGTAATTAACAAGAATGCTCACCACTGAAGTTCGTGAACTATGAGAAGCTGAGTTACGTGATTAACCTTGAGGACAAACTAGCTTCCTTGACGAGACGACTTGAAGAAATGAAAACTGAGACGTCACGGTAAACGAAGTTGAGTGTTCATCTTCTGCCCTGACCCAATTTGCATATCTTCAGGTTAATTTCTAATACTGCCTGGTCTTTCCAACAACTAGCTGCGTTTTAAAGGCTTTTTTTGTGCAAGTAAAGAAAAAACAACCCGCTCAGCACAGTATATCGTGAGCCTGCATAAGTTTGTGTTTTTGTTGAATTTTGCGTGGAGTCATTCGAGAGCTACCTACGTTAGCCGTCCCTAATTTTGAGTCGATAGGTTAGAGTGACCAACTAATCAACACCAGTCACCGTCAAGTTGTGGGCTAGTGTAATCGAATAATAGGGTTTGACTGTCGCGCTATAACGCAACCACGGCCCTAAATTGTGGAGCGCGATATATATTTGTTATTGGCAGTAACGAGGCGAAAACCACGTAACCTCGATTCTACAGTCCGGCACGCTAGCCACTTGATGGCGCTAGGTTTCCTATACTGTCTTCTTAGCTTTTGTTTGAATCACTATAAACAAAAATATATAATTATAATATAAAACTTCTTTGCACCTTTTTTTTGAAATTATAATTGAATGATCTTCATGAACGTGTCCAATGTACCAAACAGTAAATAACGCTGGTAACCTGAAAAGTGCAATGTATATATCTATCTACGCTACTGTCCATAGAATGCTCTAAAATAACTGTATTGGAAAACAAGTATACATCTGTCAATTTTTGAAATATGTAAATAAACACCTTAGACTGTATTTTCATGCTTTTATGTATTTGTGGTTCTCTTCTTACAAAGCCACTAGTTGCATAATGGGCACCAAATTTTATCAATAATGTTTAGCTTCATCACAATATTTCAATCACATTCAACTCGCTCATTTAGAAATATTTATTCAAACGTATCAAAACATACACAACAAGTTGGAGTTTCATGGCTCATGTCACACTGACTATAATATAATTAATCATCAGTCGGTGGTTATTGTACTTAAACTGCTTCATGTAATTCGTAACATTTCTTAGACCGAATAAGACTTGCTGAGAAATATACAATGGCGCTAAGCTTTTGTTTGTTGTTAAACAAAAAGCAGATATTTAAACCCGACTTTTAGTGATATAAGCCTTCAGATTTGCCACTGAACCACGATGAGGCTAACGCTAAGAAAGATATGTAAAAAAAAAAAACGTACAAATATGAGTAGCAGTTACGATTTGATTTTTAACTAGCACACATTAAGGAAAAAAATTAGATATAATAGATCTATGAAATACAACATAACATTATTTTCTTGTAACGCTAAAAACCACGGCAAGAGGCGAAGGCCGAAACGTCAGGTAAAATATATAAAAGAAATATTTCTATGAAGTTGTTTGCCATCTTTCTTGGACGTTCTTAAAATAGTTGAAATGTATTGAAAAAATAAACATCCCATTTCTTAAATATGTGTTAAATAGTGCAAAAATAAAGCCAAAAAATCAATTCTTAATATTTCGATATAGGAAAATGATTTATATCTAAGTTTCTATCGAATTGCGTTTCATTCTATAAATTTGATAACTATTTACAATGTTAAGTTGTCAAGGTAAATATCCAGTGCTTAATTTGTAGATAAAAATGAAGTTTATTTAAAGTTAAGCACAAAGTTCCACAATGAGCTATCTGTGCTCTGCCCACCACGGATATCGAAAACCCGGATTCTAGTAAGTCCGCAGACTTTGAGGGACTATAAAAGAGGAAGAGGAACTCACATAATTATGATTAAGTTAGCGCATATATCATATTTGATGATATTGATATTTTAAATTTTACATCCAAAATAACATATTTATTAAATATATATACATATTGGATTTTCTGTTTAGAATTTTATTCCTAATATCACCATTTCTAATATTTCATTGTTTACCGAACATTTACCGTTCTGCTGATACTATTGTTATTATTATTAACAAAACGGTTATAGTATTTTAATATCAAGAACTTTTGGCTAAATTAGGCTTAATTGATATATAGTTTTTGTGAAGTACATGCATATTTATTTATTTATACTGAATTGTCCCGTGTATTTGTTACGTTCTTATATTCCAACAGAATTTAATTATTATATATATATGTAAATATGAAATAAAAATGAATACAGGAACTACATCAATTTCCACACTGACTCCAAACTTTTTTTCAATATGATCATCACGTAATCAACTCTTACCATTTATTATCAATTGCTGAATGATGTCCTTGAGCCAACCACGAATCAACATGCAAAGAGACGATCGATTTGGGGCGATGATTAGGTTCATTTGTGAGAATCC